CCGAAGATACTTATATTGGCTTCAGCCGGGCGTTTGGTTGGTGCCTACTGGCAGAAGATATTTATATTGGCTTCGGCCAGGCATTTGTAGATGGCTTCGGCCGTAAGATATTTATATTGGCTTCGGCCGGGAGATGTAGTGCCTTCAGGCGAATGAAGATATATGTTTATATATATATATATATATATGCCTTGTGCTACTACTACTAATCAACCTATATACGATATATGTTTTTATGAAAGGTTTTATGGCATGCTAGTGTTTTCGGAAAAACCTATTACTTATTATGTTATACGAGTTTTTTAAACCTGGGGGTTAGTAGGTTAAAGAATAATTGTTTTAGTATTACTTATATATCAACTTGGTCCACTCATGTGTTGTTTTGCCCCCTCAGGACTTAAATTCGAGGCGTACAATCCCGGCGTCCAGACACTCCCACATCGGCATCTTTGAGTCTTCTCAGTGTAGGACCTATCCTTTTGTTCATTCAATTTTCTATTATTCCTTTTAGTGTCTCATTTTAGTTGTATGCTCTAAACACATTCCATAATTGCATATTCATTATAATTAAATTTACAAGTTTTATTTATGCTGGTTATTTGTTTTTAGTTCTCATGCATCCTAATATGGCTTCGACACCTTCGGGTGTTAGTCAGCACGTGCCTACCCTGGTGTTCGGTGAATATTAGGGTCGGGCATGTCAGTGTTCCTTTTGTCTTAGGTGTGGTTCTTTCTCCAGTAATTGTTTTTAGCACCAAATTGTGTTCAAACTGGGTGTTTTCTTTTTCTGTCAGTCTCTGGTACTCTTCAGAAAAGAAATGTTCATTAAGGGTATTTTGGTCTTTATGCTTTATGTGTTAACCTTCCAAATCTCAACCATTTGTGCCATCTCTACTGCCCATATTAATCTCACAGTATCCTAGGCTTTTGCCCTCTAACATTTATAGGTTCTCACTTTCAGCTCATTCCAGCTGTGAGGTTTTTCTTCCCGGGTCCTTCCCTTGTTTGAACTTCATACTCTATGTTCTGCAAACCGTAGTTATGTCTGTGAGAAATGCTTCCCACCAACATTCCAGTTTAATCTATCCACTTATTTATCGGCGCACATGGTCTCAATCTACCAAGGCTATTGTGGATGAATCTACTGCCCCTAATCCTCAAACTTTTCCAACTACCTAGGCCTTGAATTTCTATAAAATTGTTGTTCATAGGAAAGTGGTTCCTGAAAGAAGAATCATCTGGGACGATCTTCCTCTTCAGGATGCAATGCTCTTTGACGATCTCATCAATCATTATCGCTTGCAGAAGGTGAACTCTCCATCTCCATCTTTTAATCTTTCGGTTGTTCAAGAGTTTTACACAAATGTTCCTTCAAAATTTCCTAACTCTGAAGGTAAAGTCTTTGTCCAAGGCATCTATGTACCTTTTGATTCCCGTGTTATTTGTGATATCCTGGGTCTAGATTTATCAAATGCCTCTAATATTCATGCCTTTTACCTTATCATATGTCACTATGACATGAAAGCCTATCATCGTGAAGTATATTTAGAAACCTTCATTCCTTTGATAAAAAAATCAAGCATCCAAGTCTCACCTCAAGCTTTTCTATAGGAATTGGTCTGATTTCATTTGCATAAATGTTTTGGGTACGTCCAATAATGGAGATCCCACCTCAAAGTTGACCAAAGTTTTACATGCTATATTGTGTTTTTTCTGATGTCCCATTTGGATACTTAATATGTTGTTCAATTATGTTAAAGACCAATTGACCTGGAAAAGAACAACATGGGTCCACTGTCCATCTTTGTCTAATTACCCTTATTTATAAACGTGATGAGGTTCCATTTCGATCGGATGATGTTTGGCCTCAATCCACTAAAGACTTGGACAAAGGTTTAATTGACCTAAGCAATATGATTTGTGTGTTGTTGCTCATGGTGATCCTCATTCTCCTTTACCACCAAATGTCTCTCAAGAGAGAAATTGATGATCTTGAATCTGAACTTAGCTCTCTCCGTAAGCAACTTGTGGATTTTCAATCCAAGTTGGGTCAGAACTCATCCTCACCTCGTTTGAGTCACTCATCTCTACCACATTCCTTAAGTCAGTCATGTATGGGTCTATCTTCATTTGTACCTCAATCATCAGTGTGTCAACGTCATGTGGTGCCATCATCTACTTCTTATTTTTCAGCTGCCACATTTGGTCATTTTGGTGCTGTTGCTGCAAAAATGGTTGTTATCTATGTTGCCAAGGGTAAGGGAACCTTTCATGAAATCCATCAATCTCCCTCTCATTCAATTCACATGGCAAAGCATATGAGGTTTACATACTCGGATGATGAAGAGGATGAAGCTGACGAGGATCTTGAAGAATACCCTGAAGAAGACTCTGCTGAAGAAATCGAGGCCACTGGTTCTCCACTTCACTCGAATGCATCCTCTCAATCCGAGGAGTTCTATGTTAGAGGGGAGTACGCTTATGGGGGAGTGTGACTTTGGGTGTAGTTTCTTAGGAGAGCACTAATCTTGGGGGAGTTCAATTTCTTTTGTTACGTTATTTAACATTTGTGCTTAAATTGTAATTTGAAACTCCGTATTTTTGTAATTATTGTTGTGCTACTCTCGGCTTAGCAATTATTGGTTTTCCTGAACAACTGGGTGTTTTAAATAGATTACATTAACATGCTCCTTTGTTTTTAATATTTTGATACCGAGAATTGTACCTTGTGTTTCAACTTCTCTATTATGTTATGTCTTTGTTGTTGGTTCCTGTATATTTTTAATTGTGTTGGATATTTCTTTCATGAGCTTAATTGACTTTATATCCTTTGTATCCTCTGTCTTTACCATGACAAAATGGGGGAGAAAAATAAAATTTGAAAATTTATGTTGTGTTGCAATCAAGTATAATGCTAAACAATTTACTTCCTTGCAATTGCCTTAACCATGATAACTTTTCACTTGTTCTTTGTCAAGAGTACTTCTTTGCAAGATTCGTCCTTTGTGTTCTCTTGAGTGAGGTTAGATGTCTTTAGTTATAGGGTTTGGGTTATTTTGTCAAGGAAAGCCAAAGGGGGAGATTGTAAAGTCTAGTTTTTGTTGTTTGGCTTCCCTTGTCAAATGTTGTAAATTGTACCACACATGCTCTAGAATTGTTTCTCTGGGATTATGCTACTGGAAATATCACTTTAATAGCTTAATTTCTCTCATCAAAAGTTTGTTCATACATATGCATTTCATATCATTATTTCCAGTTCATTTTTCCTAGTGGTTATGTCTGGCCAAAACTTTTTGTTGCTTTCACACAAGTTGGGCTCACACTTTAAGGCAACCCATATAGGCTTTCTAACAGCCGTTTCTCCGGGAGTGTTTTTCAACCCTAGATTTTTTCAGATTGTGTTTGCACATGACACGTGGCATTTCCATTCCCTCTCTTTGTCTGAAACTCAGCCTTCTATATAAAGTTAAATCTAGGGTTTTTTCAATTTGGCTAGGAGATTTATATTTTCTGATAGGGGTTGTTTTCAGCGGTGAGCTGCCTCTTGGTTCTTACTTGAAAAACTTAGCCAAAAATCACACTCATGCACTAAGTACCCACATCATTGCATATTAAGGTAGCATTGCTTTTGTGATTTTGATCTTTGTTTTAGGTCAAGTTTTTTCTAAGCTTCAAATCTTTGAACTGGCATTTTTTAGATTTGCGTTAGTTTCATCTTTCAGGTGTTTGACTGGTGAAACTGACTAGACATCAAATCCAGATTTGCATCAACTTCATCATAACATCATTTGCATAAGTTGATTTGATTTTGGTGCCACAAGGTGAAGAGCTTAAGAGGAACTACCACTTCATGAAGACCAAAGGAGTTCATCTCGTGAAAGGCAGGGTTGCACAAAGGTGGAAGCTGCTCTGTAAATTAGGATCTAGGAATTGAGCTTGTGAGATTACTTTATAAGAATCTTCATTTCACTAGCGGATTGGACTCAGTAGAGAGTCCCTGGTTTTTTAACCTAGAGGTGGGGTTTTCTAGCCAAAAACATCCCTTGCAATTTATAGCTTTTCTAGTTCACTTATCGAACTCTTTTCTTGTGATATATGTTCATCATTATTAGCAAATAGATAAGTCCATCAAACTAAGATTGTCAAAGTTAAAATGTGCACTGAACTGGACCTTAGTTAACTAGGTTCACTTCAGTAAACCGAGCTTTGAACTAACTACTTCTGCTATAAGTAAACTAACATATTTGATCTTAGTTGATGAGTGTTGCTGACTAGTCAGACAAGCATGTATATAGATTTTAAATTGCAGATTATTCCACCTGGTAGCAGTTTCATAAATCATACCTGAAGACGCCATCACAACTTGAATCAAAGAAAGATCTTATGCTCACTAAAAAACTTATGCTACTAGTAATCGAGCTAGTAAACTTTGGAACGTGTTTTCTCATGAGTAGGGACCAACATATATCTAGACGCTAAATCAAACTAACTCCCACCTATCATGGGTAGTAGTTAGTAATTGTAGGCATTTAGTAACTACACCATCTCAACTTCATAGACGTGGGGTTATCCACTTCTCGAATTCCCATATGTTTGCCTAAACATCCTACTTTAAAGGAATGAAGTTAATTAAAATATTAACTCTAAATGATTATTATTATTATTATTATTATTATTATTATGTGATAATTAAATCTTTGTTGGAGAACAATTTAGAAATTAAATAATAACAGAATATGAAAATAACTAAATATAATAAGGAAATATACTTCCAATAAAGAATGAAAACTATAACAAATAAAAATGAAAATGATACTAACTTGATTAACAGATAGAGGCTAGCGATGATATATCCTTCGAACAGTATTTTCGTCCCACTCTTCTGCTTATGGTTCTAGGTGCTTACTGAGTTAAATCTTATGAGTAATTTATTGTGGTTCCAAGAAAGCTTTTCTTTCCTTTTGCGAGAGCTTTTTCCTTTTCCCTCCTCAAATATGATCTGCTTTCTTTTCTATTCTTTTTTTCTTTCTCTCTCATGTCTTTTAACCCCATCTTTCCATACTTCCATCAATTTTCTGCATTTGGTTCATTTTCTCCGTTTCCTTCCCTACCACCTTCCACTTCCCTTAAGCAAATATTAGATCTTGCAAGGTTGGATCCAAATTGGGATTTTAATTTTAAGGTCTTAATCAGCAGCGAAAATCTAAGATCTGATTTTTGCTTGGGGACAGTTTTCCATTTTTGGGTTATTTTGGACACTCAATGCCCACCTTGGCTTGCAGGCAACTTCGGAGGTGGGTAGCAAGAGAACAAGCGGTGGGATGCTTCTATTTGTTGGGGATTAGGGTCTTTTCGATTTCTTCAACTTTTGACCCTAATGCTTTTTATGTTTTCTTCTCTTTATTTGTTGCTAATGCCCTTCTTTAGCCTCACGTCTGAGGTGGCGGGTTCGTGAGTTTATGGGTCATGTTTCTCCCTTTCTTTGATCATCCGAGGACGATGCTTGTTGATGGCTCACATAGGATGCCACAAAATCGTCCTCTATAGATCTCATGTTGCGGCTACGTCCTTAAGGTCTTTGTTGTTTCATATTCCAGAGGTGGTGATAAAAGGACGTTAGTAGCGGCTGTTAGGGTTTCTTTGTTTTCTGTTTAAGCTCGAAATATTGATTTGAGCTATATTTTATTTTGGTTTTAGGGTCCATCTCTATGTTTTGAGCTTAAAGTTGTGATTGGGCCTCTCTATGTATAAGTTTTCTGGTTTGGTAATAAATTTACATTTGTCAAAAAAAAAAAAAATTATTGTGGTTCCAGGTACGAAGATGTTTTGACGGCTTGGTGACATGGCGGTTAGTATTAGTCTTTGATATCATTCCCTAAAATTTATTTATTTATTTATTTTACAGTTTTCGATAAACCAATGTTTAGCCTAACTTCGAAACCTAGCGATTCAAAATTATATATACTAAAACTCAGTTTTTTGGGTTACTATTGACCTATAGTGTTCAGATGGATTTGCGCCTCATTTTCTTCAATGTTTTCTAATTTTGGTGTGATTTTATAGTGGAGTGCAATTTTGCCCTTGGTTGGTCATCTCGGGGAAAGCTTTTCTATTGCTTCCATTATGGATATCTCGGTCTCTCCAACTCTCTAAAAAAATCCGGTACCAAAAATCTCTTCAGTTCTTTATCAATTCTAGCAGCCACCGCCACCACTCAGACGGCCCCAAAGGTAGATTTCTTCTCTCTTCCTTACATTTGGAATCTTGAAAACCCTCGTTGATATCGTTTGATTTCTGCACAGCTCTCAGCCAACCAAGCTCACTCATTTGGCCTTCCACACCCACCCAACAAAACCCCCAATCACAATCGCAACAATCCACAAAGGGGTTATGAACATCATCAACTCGCCCAACACCTCCACTATCGTGGGTCGTCTCAGAATCTCCATAAAAGAGCATCTTTATATATATTTTAAACAGAGAATTTCAAGCTCTCTTTCGCTCTCAATGGTTGCTGACAGAAAAAAGATGCTAAAGGTAATTAGGACATCAAAACTTGATTGGTAATCTGCAAATCCACGAGGTGGGTTTTTCGGAATTTTCAAATCTTATTAGTTTGAACTTTTGGTGTTTTGAGGAGATCTTTGTGATTATTTGGTTGTGAATTTTAGGATTTTGGCAACATGGGTCGGTCCAAATCTGATTAGGGAGGGCTCTCTGATCAAAAGGGCGTTGTTTTTCTGTACATTTGAGAGAACCCAGAAGGTAGGATTTGATTATTGTGGACAAGTTAATATGCGTTGCAGCTGCTTTGGTGCTTCGGTTGCTGAGAGGAAAAGGAAATCTTGTTCTGGTTCTGGTCGATTTGGCCATGATCTTAATGGTACGGACATGGTTAAATATTCCCACTTTCTGGTTTGTTATTTTTTTACCTCCCTACTGTGGTTTTTTTGTTCATGTGATTCTGCTAGATCATCATTGTTATTGTGATTGATTGATTGTTTTGTGTGTTGCATAGAAAATGTGCTGGAAAATTGATTGATTGTTTTGTGTGTTGCATAGAGAATGTGTTGGAAAATATCAAGGCTTTCTCCTACAATGAATTAAGATCCGCGACGGATAATTTTCATCCGAGTAATAAGATAGGTCGAGGCGGTTTTGGAACTGTATACAAGGTACTCAAGAATATGCATTTGTCTTTATTATTTATATTGGGAAGTTTGCACCAATTATAGAAAATTCATGATATCTGTTGTTCGAAAGATGTCGTTGTTTCAATTCCAAATTGCTGCAATGACTAATGAGTTAGCAGCCTCAAAACATCAAGCAATTGGGTTTGCATTTTAAGAACACTTCAAGTTCTATCCTTATGTTTTTTAACACAGATGCAATGTTTGGTCAGGTACAAAGTATAATAAAGCATTTATAAAATGATGATTACCCTTTTTTTTTACATTTTTTAAGATCTTATAAATCTTTTCCTACATCTATGCATTTGTTTTTCTCAATTCACAATTTAGCAGAATGAGAGTATATTTCTGTTTACTATAAGATGTGAATTCTAACCTTTATTCATATGTGCAGGCTAAGAATTATGGTAAAAGAGTTTATTGTGGTTAGCTTAGAGGAAAATGTGAGATTAGCAATTTGAAGAGTCTACTTTCTCCTCATATGTTTGCTTTAACATTTGTAAGTTGTAATTATTATTTTTCTCTTCATGGCATACTTAATTTTGTAGATTAGCATATATTTGTTTTTGACATTTCTTATTAAATGTATTTGAAAACTAACAGTCACATCCCGGCCTGGGCCCCCACCATATCTCCGGCTCGACTTCGCCATAGCACAATATTGTCTGCTTTGGACTCCGACTATGCCTTCACGGTTTTGTTTCTGGGAATTCACACGAGAACTTTCCAGTAGATCACCCATCATGGGATTGCTCTCGCGCGAACTCGCTTAACTTCGAAGTTCTGATAGAACCCAAAGCCAGTGAGCTCCCACAAAGCCTCGTGCTAAGTAGAGATAGGAATGTGGGAAGTTACATATAAGGCTTACATGATCCATTCCACTGGGCAATGTGGGATGTTACAATCCATCCCCCTTAGGGGGCCCAACGTCCTCGTCGGCACACGTTTGACCAAGGATTGGCTCCGCCGTAGCACAATATTGTCCGCTTTAGGTCCTCACTATGCCCTCACGGTTTTGTTTCTAGGAATTCACACGAGAACTTCCTAGTGGGTCACCTATCATGGGATTACTCTCGCGTGAACTCGCTTAACTTCAGAGTTTCGATGGAACCAGAAGCCAGTGAGCTCCAAAAAATGCCTCGTGCTAGGTAGAGATGAGAATATACATATAAGGCTTACATGATCCACTCCTCTGGACGATGTGAGATGTTACACTAATTGGAGAAAGTATCCAATTTTTTAGCAATTAAAAAAAATCACCTCAATAATTACAGTTTTATTCCAATTTCTAAGCAAGGGGAATAAACCTCTGAAGTTTCAAAGAAGAGAGTCGAAAGTTCTGAATGGTATATTTGTGTAAATATGATTGTAAATATGAAGGTACATATGTAAGTAAATAGAGATGTAAACCTGCAACAACGCACGGGCTGTTTTGCTAGTAAATGACTATATGTTGGTTACTATACAAGGATTATATATTAACATATTTATTTCTTTATTAAATTAGGATTTTCCATTTGATTGAGGAAGATTTTAGTGACGGTGTACTATGACATGATCATCAATTTGCTTTGTGAAATGATATATATATATATATATATATGTTTGAAATGATTGCGAAATGATATATATATATATATATATATATATATATATATATATATGTGTAAATATGATTGTAAATATGAATGCTACTTCTGTTCAGTTGAATGAGAGGTTTTGGAACCGTATTTCGTGTATCCTTGTTGTCTAGTTCCATGAAAGGTTCTAGAAAGCAGGGCTTGATGATGTTGCTCCAGCCCTATGATTTTATTATACATGAAAGAAATTACAATTGGATGCCTGTGTGGATCAATCAAGATTTATGAGTGAGGATTATTTTATATATATAAGGATTCCAAAATGTTTTTGTTAATCACATATGTTGTATTATTGTCGCTTACACGAGTTTCGCAACTTATTCGAGTTTTTTCTTTGTTCAATGCGCCATTTCCACTGCGTAGGGTTGTTTTACAGAGTAACAGGTAGCGATTCTAGAAGAGGTTTTCAAGGGGTGTAGTTGGCATGTGCAGTGCACTCGAGAGTAGGGTTTATTCCCTTTTGTTGTAATTTCGTTGCCTATTATGTATGAGTCCCAATTAGCTCTATGTATTGTTGTAATGCTACTTTCAGCTGCTACATGCTGATCCTTGGCGTATCTCAAGATGGGGGTGTGACAACTTTTGATGATATCAGAACATTGGTTCTTGGACCTTTGCATTTCAACGGATGCTGATAACATGCCTTGTTGTATCAATAGTGTCGAGACCTGAAATTTGGACTTACTTGGGCTAGAGTGAGAATTTTCTTTCATCATCTTCTTGTTTTCCTGTGTTTTCGTTTGGAAGTTGTGTGCCTTTGAAGCCTAGGCAACTAGAATTTCATTAGTTAGTTGAGCCTTGAAGTGAACCTATTAGTTTTGAGAATAAGTTGGTAGAAAAATTTGAAGTGTGAAGGTCATTTCTATTTTCAGTTTTGATTTTAGTGCAAGTATTTTTTACTTTATTTGATTATATGAGTATTATATAGAAGGAGGATTGAGTTGAGTTTGGACGTATGAAAGAGGAATCATTGCAATTCGATCACGATAGAATAACATCCTCTATATGCAGCCGCTCTTGCTTTTTTTTTTTTTTTTTTTTTTGTCAAACGATATAATTGTTAAACTAGATGTTAGATTAGGGAACTGACGGGGTTCGAACCCACGCCATGGTGCAAGGGCAACACTGTTCTCTACCACTGTAATAGAGGACCACTTGCATGTAGCTGCTCTTGCTTGATATCTTCTTATATTTTCAATCTATAGTTTGAGTATTTTGAGATTTGAGTATAGCAACCTATTGCAAATTTCGAGGTAAACCGATGTTCATTTTGTTTATTATACAATTTTCTAAAAGAGAGGTCGCACTTGGTGCGATGGCAAGTGCCTTCGCTCATGAGCGGTAGGTCTCGGGTTCGAGACTTGGGAGCAGCCTCTCCATAAATGGGGGTAAGGCTAGCCGACATTCACCTCTCCCAGACCCTGCGTAAAGCGGGAGCCTTGTGCACTGGGTACGACCTTTTATACAATTTTCTAAAAATTTGGGGTAAACTGATGTTTAGCCTAATGGAAAGGGATCATCTCCGGATCTCTTCCACCAAATCCATCCAATCACCTAATCCAGATCCTTGAAATTTGATCTAACGGTTAAAGTTATTATAACTTTTAAAGGGGTCCCCTATTTGTAGCCGTTGGATCAAATTTCAAGGGTCCGGATTGATTGATTGGATGGATTTGGTGGAAGGGATCCGGATATGATCCCTTTCCTAGCCTAACATCGGAAACCTAGAGATTCAAAATAAAGGACTATATGTGGGTTACTATATAAGGATTAATAGTGACATATTTATTTCTTTATGAAATTAAGATTTTCAATTTGATTGAGGAAGACCTTAGTGACGGTGACACAACATGGGTTCAGGCTTTGCTCGGAGCACAGGTGAGTAGACTTTAATATTATGTAATAAATATTTTGCATATGAAAAACTCCCATGTTATATATTGTGTATTTAACTTGGATTTACAAATGGTTATTACCCGATCATTGATCTGCTTTGTGAAATAGTATGCGTATATGTGTGTGTGTGTGTGTGTGTGTGGGCTAGTAGATACCTTGTATATTTACTTTCTCGTTTCATGTGTGGATATTAAGTCCCTAATATGTTACATTTCTATCTGATTCCATGAGTGGTTTATGGACTCCTGCTTGACTTTCAATAGGTTCCATAAGTGGTTTTGGAACACTACTTCTGTTCAATTCGATGGGTGGTTCTGGAACCATAAATCTTGTCGGAGTCCATGAGGGGTTCTGGAATCCTACAGTGATTCCTTGAGAGGTTCAGAAACTGTGCATAGTTTCTATCGGTTCCATGAGAGGTTCTAGAACCCTACTTTGTGTATCTTTGTTATCCAGTTCCATGAAAGGTCCTGGTAGGTGTGGACACTTCGAACCGAAAACCGAAACCGAAACACGAACCAAATCAAACCGCACTGAATGGTTTGGTTTTGCGGTTTTGGAACGATTTCGGTTTTGAAATCGAACCGCAACATAGAAAACGGTTTGGTTTCGGTTTTGGCTTTTGAAAACCGCACCGAAACCGAACCACACCACAAATATTAATAAACATTTAATTACATGTCCATATTAAATTTCATGTTTTAATTGGTTGTTTGTTAGAATCTATGCACTTAGTATGAACTCAACCATACTGGAATATCATCATTCATCACTTTCTTTCGTTCATTAACTTGAAGGACCTTTGTTATTTTATACCATCACACACACACACACACACACACATGTATGTACAAGGGTAGACTAATCTTGTTATCAATAGTCGAACAATGAACTAATGAAGTCCACTCATTTGAAGCATGATATCACATATTCAAGGATGAAAGTGTCGCTCACGTTTAATGAATTCAAAGTTATTCAACTTGTATTATGTTATACCTTGTATGGGACATCCTCTTGTTGCACAAACATGTTTTAATATCACAACTGCATACAACATGCTAATTATTTATATAACAAATGCTTTTTTCCTATTGCTACTGGGAAATGCTTATTAATATGTTAAATTGCAAATTGTACATTTTTTTCTTAAAAACGAAACCGAAACCATTTGAAACAGCACCGAACCGAACCACAAACAAATTTGGTTTCGATTTCGATTTCACTCAAAACCGCACCGAACCAAACCGTGCCCACCCCTAGGTCCTGGAACGCTGAACTTAAATGTTTTTAAATCACATATGTTGTATTATTGTCACTCACACAAACTTTGTAGCTTATCTGGATTTTTTATTTGCTCGGTGCGCCATTCTCACGGCGTAGAATTGTTTTCCAGGGTAACAGTTAGCAGTATTAAAAGAGGTTTTTAAGGGGTGTAGCTGGCATGTGCAGTGCACTCAAGAGTAGGGTTGTTCCCTTTTGTTGTAATTTTATTTATGTTGATTATCATATGTATATTATGTACGAGTCTCAATTACCTCTATGTATTATTGTACTGTTACTTTTAACTGCCACGTGTTGATCTCGAGATCAGGACGTGACATATTCCCTTAGGCAATGTTTTGATAATTGATGTTTTCTCTTAATTTAAGTGTTTACCACAAAGGCAGGCCTCGTAGACTAAAAATAATGACTAGAAATTTGCTTTCATTTGGCAACTCATTTCGTCCCTTTAATTCCGGATTTTAACTCTTGGCCAAGCACAAAGCTCATCATTTTTTTTCCAATTCAAATCTCTTTGGGATACTTTTGGGGTCATCTTGAAGAAATTTGTAAGTGGGAAGAAAAATGTTGAATTTTTTATATGAAGAAATTAATTTCGTTTGGATCATATTTGATCACAGTCGTTAAATCACATGCTAACATTATCATTGGAATACTCTTATTATTTTTTTGTTATTAAAACTAAATTTTAGGTTTTAGGCACTTGTGCAAGAGATGGTTTAAGTCGACACAGTTGACGCAGTTGAAGGCTAATAAGACCCACTAAATCTTCTTACCCATTCATCACGTGAAAAACATTTATTAGATAGATGATTCTCTTTCTAAACACGCGACAAACATCAGTTGGACAAACGACACCACTGAGACTGAACCTCAGTTACAAGAAAGAATCTCTCCTCACCAACAGGGAAGCAAGTACAAGCCCCACGGACTTGTTTTGTTAGTCATTTTAAAGCACCAATTTATGTCAAACAAACAAACAATTCATATTCTTCTTCCATATCTTCTCAGTGATTGATTCCTACCACATTTTTATACTAAAGAAAAATAAGTACACCCAAAATTATATTACAAATTGGTAAATTACTCCAAATATACACTAAAGAGGTAAATTACAGTTTCTCAAGTCAGCAAGTAACATTTATTTGAAAAGATTCAAACCCCATTCCGAAAATCGACAAAAGATGGCATGTTAAAAGCCAAATTGATAAGGCATTCAACAATCAACACAACAACAACAACAACAACAAAGCCTTTTCCCACTAAGTGGGGTTATATGAATCCTAGAACGCCATTGCGCTCGGTTTTGTGTCATGTCCTCCGTTAGATCCAAGTACTCTAAGTCTTTTCTTAGAGTCTCTTCCAAAGTTTTCCTAGGTCTTCCTCTACCCCTTCGGCCCTGAACCTCTGTCCCGTAGTCACATCTTCGAACCGGAGCGTCAGTCGGCCTTCTTTGCACATGTCCAAATCACCGGAAGCCGATTTTCTCTCATCTTTCCTTACAATTTCGGCTACTCCTACTTTACCTCGGATATCCTCATTCCCAATCTTATCCTTTCTCGTGTGCCCACACATCCCACGAAGCATCCTCATCTCCGCTACACCCATTTTGTGTACGTGTTGATGCTTCACCGCCCAACATTCTGTGCCATACAACATCGCTGGCCTTATTGCCGTCCTATAAAATTTTTCCTTGAGCTTCAGTGGCCTACGACGGTCACACAACACGCCGGATGCACTCTTACACTTCATCCATCCAGCTCGTATTCTATGGTTGAGATCTCCATCTAATTCTCCGTTCTCTTGCAAGATAGATCCTAGGTAGCGAAAACGGTCGCTTTTTGTGATCTTCGCTAGATTGCTCCGGTCATTAGTGTGGATAAGTATATAAATGGATAGAGATAGGAAAGCAAACACAAGATGTACGTGGTTCACCCAGATTGGCTACGTCCACGGAATAGAAGAGTTCTCATTAATTGTGAAGGGTTTACACAAGTACATAGGTTCAAGCTCTCCTTTAGTGAGTACAAGTGAATGATTTAGTACAAATGACATTAGGAAATATTGTGGGAGAATGATCTCGTAATCACGAAACTTCTAAGTATCGGAGTGTGGTGTCGTCTTGACTTGCCTTATCTGTCTCATAGGTAGATGTGGCATCTTCTCTGGAAGTACTCTTCCTCCATCCAGGGGTGGTATCTTTAACTGGTGGAGATGCACAAGGTAATGTATCAATTTCACTTGAAGCTTACTTGTAGTTTCAGGCTTGGTCAAGCGCGATACAAACCATGTAGTAGGAGTCCCCCAAGTCGCCGAGCTAGGGGGTCTGCTGAAAGAGGTGACAGACAAGGTAAGCAATCAGAGCTCCGACTGATTGTTCACCTTCTCCCCATCTTGCAGCAGCATGAAGGATAAAGAGAAGAAAAATGAGAAGAGATGATATGAGATACTTTTGCTTTTGAAGAAGTAACTTTCCACAGGCTTATTCTTGAACTGAGCTGGAGGGTTTTCTGGTTTCCTCCAGAGTATAAGGCCGACTGAAGAATTTGAGGGTCAAAACAAGTCCATCAAATCTAGAGTACGTTCCACCCTGCTGATATGGGATACTTTTGCTTTTGACAGAGTAATGGATGTATCGGCACGTGTGCTGTTACGCTTGTCTCCACATGCTTCCTTGTATCCTTCGCACTTGCCCTATCTGTTCCTCAAGCAGATGCGGAATCTTCCCTGGAAACATAAGATGTTGAAGATGAGTACTCGAGAGCAATGCCAGGTAAGTAATCAGGTAAGGG